CGGCACACTGGAAGGAAAATTTGGTCCAGGCCCTGTTAGATGGCATGGGGTGTCAACAAGGGGTGGAAGGCACCTTGGACCAGCAACAGCAGGAAGCCAGTATTGCCATGGCACCTGAGGGGGTATAGGGGAAAGACCTCTCACAGCCACCTGGCAGGAGCTATCTTTAGGAATTCAGCCATCCACAGAAGTGCAGGCAGGTACGGAGGGACAGAATCCAGGAATAAACACCCTGACCTCCTCCTACTCCTCTATCCACTGGTTGAGTCTACATGAAGCCAGTCAGCAGAGGACTCTAGGTGATGCTCTCCAGGTGAAGTCAGCCTCCAAGACACAGAGCAGGCAAGGAAAGACAGAGAATGGGTCAGGAAGGAGGAGGGGTTTGACAAGGAGAGGAAAACCACCCCTTCCTTCCAAGGATTTTAAGACATTCCCAATGATGCTTTAGACTTGCCTCCTGGGAGACTTAAAAGCACACCATCAACAAGAAGGCCCTCTGCTGTGGCTCTCACCTCATGCTTCTAAATCAACGGTCTGGTTCCCAGGCCACCACTGCCCTAATGAACAGAGCAGAAGCTAATGGAGAGCAAAGAAATATTTCTTATCTGAAATGTTTCACATCAATGACCCTTCACAGAATAACTACTATGTGCCAGACATTTATACTCAGACAAATGAGATGCTCTGTAGTCTAGGTCTTTAAGGAGCTCCTGATTTTATTGGGAAAACTGGTCATATGCTGAAAAGTTAAAGATAAGATACCTGTGCTCAAGAGCTTGGTTAGGGAGTGCCATGTAGGGGAAAAGCCATAAATGTGGTTGGGTCAGGCCACCTGGAGGGAGGCCCTGGTCTTGCTGCTCCCCAGATGTATGACCCTAACAATTCATTCCCCCTCAGTTTCCTCTCCTGTTAAAAAAGGAGGTCAGCCTGGCTCTGTGGTTCCACAAGTGCTAGTAGGGCAGAGAGTATGAGTACTTTGTGAATCTCACAGAGCAGACAGCCTGCAGTGGTCAGTGAGGCTCCACATGGGGAGCAGGCCTTAAAGGAGGCCAGGAAGGATGGGCAACACTGGAAAAGGCAGAGATGGGAGGAAGGGCTCTTGGGACAGAGGAAACAGCACAAGTAAACACATGGAGGCAGGAGAGCACTCAGTCCATGAGGCTGGAATGGCAGGGGCATGATTCTAAGTGTGCCTTACAACCAAATGGGTCCTGGGGAGGCTCTCAGGTTGAGTGGATGGGGGTAGAGGGAGATGACAAGCAGATGATGTGCCCCTATCAAATTATAAACCTGCCCACCACTGAAACCCAAAACTTGTTTGCCTTCACTTTGCTTAATGAGAAGAGTGAGAATCTGGAAAATCAAATAAGAGCCAACTCTGGAGAGTTAACTTGGGAATCAATTGCACTAGACTTATATTTGGAAAACACAAATCAGATCAAGTCACTCTTTTGCTCATAAGCCTTTCATGGTTCCTTTTGCCTATGGAACAGAGTCCAAACTCCTTAGCTATTTTTTTTTTAGAGAGAGAGAATGCATGAGTGGGGGATATGGGCAGAAAGAGAAAGAGAGAAAGAGAGAATGAGAATCTTAAGCATACTCCATGCTGAATGCAGTCTGACACGGGGATCGATCTCACAACCCTGGAATCATGTCCCTGAGCCAAAATCAAGAGTCTGTTGCTCAATGGACTGGGCCACCCAGATGCCCCAAACTCCTTAGCTTAACAAGCAATCTTGCCCAGTCCCACCTCGTCAGGCTGCTCACCCTGCCCTAAGGAAGCTACTTCCTTCACCATTTCCCTAAAATAAGCCTTTTCAAACATAAATTGTTCACTCATTCATTCAGCAAGGATTTATTGAGCATTTACTTTGGGCTAGGCCTGGACATTAACAAAGAAATCAGAACAAATGCGATGCCTCTTTTCTTGGCACTTAAAGTCTGGAGAGGGATAGGAGTTTCAAACAGTAATTACAACCAAGATCATTGCTAGAAAGAGAAGCGAAGGCTGAGGTGGGCTCTAAGATGTAACTGAAGGGCCTAACCCATTTTAGGGAGGTGGGGGGAGGGGACAAGCAAGCTGCCCTCTAGACACCTGAAGGCTGAGTTGGACTCAGCCAGTCAATGGCAGAACAGGCATGGAGGGCAGAGGGGGAGGTATTCCAGTCAGAGGGAATAGCAGCCTTTGAGGCTGGACCTCGCTAAAGAAGTCACATCAACTTTCACTGGTGTGAGCATCAGGATGTGCCATCCTGGATGTGGCTGCAGAGGTCTCCCTGGTAAAGCAGGTTTTATGCTCTTCTGAGGGCAATGAAATGCCACAGGGGTTGGGTAAGAATAGGAATGGCATGATCACTTTTCTGATTGTATGGAGAATGGAATGTGAGAGAGAATGAAATTTTTTCTTTTGGAATCTGCTTCCAAGCCCTCTCCCTTAGCAAATGGTTTGTCTTTTCAGAGTCTACCTCTTTTATGTGGTCTTTCCTGGCCCCATCAGGCCAAGTAATCACTCCATCTTCTCCACATCCTCATCCCAGAAACTGCAAAATTCCACTTTAATATCTATTACACTGAATTGTGAATTCTTATTCTACCAGTCTCCCCTCACTGGATTATCTGGGCAAAGACCTAATTGTTTGGAGGGGGAGGGGGGGGTGTTGTTGTTGCTGTCATTGTTGGGTTGTGTTGTGTTGTTTTGTTTTGATCTCTGTGCCCTTGAGACCCAGCAGAAATCCTGAACCTGGCAGACAGCCAATAAATATCTATTAGTTACTGATTAAATTAATTAAATACTGAAATCTCTAAGGAATTTCCTGTGGTTGACCTCTCTCTGGAGCTGCATCCTCATACGCATACAACAGTGTCTGAATTTTATCTCAAAGACTGACAGAGATCCTTTCAAACCTTCATTGATAGATTCCCAGTACAAGCCAGAGCCCGCTGACCCAGAAAAAGAGCTTTATGTTAGCAGGAATGAAGGGCACAGTGGGGGGTGCAGCAGCACAAGGGCCAGTTGTTTTGGGGCAACTCAAGCCCAAATTTTAAAAAATCTTACAGTGAGACTGATACTCTACAGTGAATGTGTTTAGGTTAAAGAGGGTTGGGAGTACAAAGGCTTTCTAGTGGCTGTGAGCAAGAAACAAAAAAGGGCAGATAGCTTCGGTGGCCCAGGTTCAAGGCCAATGACTACTGCCAGCCCCTTTGCCAGGCTTTTCGCTCTCCATGCACTGGACCAAAGAACAGGAGCCCCACATGTTCACCTACGCAGGAAGGGAGACACACGCCCTGCCACATTTACATTCCTGTGTGTACATGGTGTTTTCAAGTCCTGGGATGTGATGTTGATGAAAGACAGTTAATTCAATTTCTATGGAGAAATTGATTAATGGACTGGATTAAAAGAAGTCCCTTGTGTCCGCAGCCTTTGCCCAGCATACCAATTCTGTGTTATCTCCCTCCCTGGCTTTCTCCTTCCCTCCTCACTTGCCACTTTGACAATACACACTGGGGCCCAGCAGGAGAAGGAGGGAGGAGAGGAAAGATGAGAAGCCACAGATTAGGGCCGGAGCACACCTCTATATTTAATTAGTTCTCTTAATATTTTTAAAAATAATAAAAGAGCCCTGTGGGGGATATACTGATCTGGGGATTGTTCTAGTGATTGGCAGATGTTCTGGAGAAGGGACTCTGCCAGAGAGTCCTTCAAGGCTTTTCAACCTTCTCTTCAGTGGGAAGGAGAGAAGGCACATCCCTGCCCACCCGGAATACAGCAGAAGTCACAGCCTCCTTGAAAGGCCCTCCGGTGTGAGGGCAAGACCCAGAGTCACACCAAGCCCTTTCCCAGGCTGCCCTCTCAGACCTCCAGGCCCCAGGCCAGCAGCCAGAGAACACTGGGCCTACAAATGCTCGGGCCAGGGAGGGCCACGCAGCTCACTCCCGGGTGAGGAGTTGCCTGGGCTCACACTCACCTGGTGACGTTAGGAAAAGCACGGGAAGCAGGGGGCAGACAACGTGACCCCAGAGAGCCCTTCCTGACCTCAGCTTTGTGGGGGCAGTATTCATAGCACCTTTTACTCTCAGACCCTTGTGCTTTTCACCGGCCTCCCAAATCTGTGATCAGCTTTCACTCTACATTCTGAATCATAAAAGTGAGACCGGGTGCTGTGGTCTGAATGTCTGTGTCGTCCCAAAACCCATATGTTGAAGCTCTGACCAACAATGTGCTGGTATCAGGAGGTAGGGCCTTTGAGTGGTGAGTAGGTCAGAGGGTGGAGTGCTCATAATGGGATTAGACCTTTGAAATCAGCTAGTGCCTTGATCTTGGACTTCCCACCTTCAGAATGTGAGCAATATATTGCCATCGTTTAAGCTACCCAGGCTATGGTATTTTACCCAAATGGACAAAAAGACACCCAGAGAAATTATTTCATCAATGTAAAGAAATAAATAAATATGCTATCCTTTCTGTATGTACTTGATGTGCCTACTTTCACAGTGTAACTGATTGCAAGGAAGTTCACCTTAGGATAATAACACAGGACAGGTACATTAGTGGGCACCACCTCCTGACTCCGCCCTTCCCATCCCCCATTAGAAATGGGATCCATCAAGTGTCTTTATTAATAACCTAGTCCTCTGGCTTTAGTTAAGAACAACCTGCTCTGGCTTTTGATTAATGTTCGTTGTGGCTGTGCTAAGGTTTCCTGTACCTCGGTGGCTAGAAGGGAGCCCACGGAGCTCCAGCACACGTGTCTGGTAGGTCTCACACACACACACAAGCTGATGAATAATTTATTCAAATGAGTCTGTGAATGTTAGACAATATTGCATTATAAAATAAATCAATTATGATTTAAAAAAAAAGAAATCTCAGTTTGTTGAAAAACATTGCAAACACAGGCGATTTTCTCTTTATTAAAAAAAGTGAAATCTCATTTCAATAAGAATCTGTTACAACAGCTACAGAGCCATTTCAGTGACTCCTTAATAGAATACCCCCCTAAACAAACTACATCTGCCAGATGCCTGCTTTACCTTTTTCAATTAAAATTCTGCTCCTATTGTTGGAAGGTTAACTTTGAACTTACAAGGCTATGTAGCTCACTAGGGTATGAAGTTAGTTGCCTGTAAATATGCATAAATTAGCATCATTTATCCCATATGGAGTTTCCAACAAGAACTATGAGTGCCTCTCTAAATATCTGGATGGATCACCTTTTTTCCAATACCAGAAGGAAAATATCATTCAAGAATGCTAAGAATCTCAGGGGTTTACATTTTTGAGAGAAAAAAATAACTCAATTTTGGCTACAGTTAAAATACAGGAGGGAGTAGAGGATTCTGCATTCATTCATTAAATAATGGAATCTCCATTAATTCACTCAAGAAACTTTATGGCTTGCCTTGTACCTATCTAACCTGTGCATAGCCCTGAGGCAGGTGCTGAGATATATCAGTGCCTGTCGCCAGAGAGCTCACAGGTGTCCCTGCACACCGGGCACCCACTGTCTGCCCTGACCAGCCTGCTGTGGGCAGGGGGACATGCTATGAGATGATCTCATAATCCTGGAGATCTATGACCCATAATTCACCCCCTTGTGTTAAGCAAGAACTTTTCCCATGTGAGTGTTTATAAATTACAGTGTCTGGAAAGATAACTTGACAAGTTATCTTGACACACCTTAAAGCCATACATAGAAGCCAGGATAGATGAAGAAAAGGTAAAGACCACCAAAATAGGGGCTTTGGGGCCATCGCTGAAGACAAACTTTATTCACTGTATAATCTTGCTTCAGGTGGACTGGGTTCTCTCTGCCCTTTCACAAAGGAAGTGACTCAAGATACCTGATATACTCTCAACCCTCAGAAAATGAACCTCTTTCCATTCACTTGATCCCACCAGTCACAAAGCACTGACTCTGTCATGCACCAGAGGGGCAACATGAATAAGAAGTGTTTACACTCTGAAGGAGCCGACCCAACCAAAGTGAGAGATTCAGACATGGAACAGGTGAGTGGTGTGGCAGCTGGGGCTGCTGGGAGGAAACCCCTGGCCCAGGTCCCTCGCCTCCCCCCAGGAGGCACTGTCAGAGGGGAACCTGGAAGCAAGGGCAGGAGTGAGCCAGGGCCCAGCACAGGCAGAGGTGTGGGAGGAACAAAGCACTGGCAGAGGTATGCAGGTGGGCCACGCTTCTTCTGGAAGCCAGGCAGGAAGAATGCAAATGCAGAGGCAAGGACTGGGGAAGGTCTTAGATGGAAGTCTAAGGGAAGGGAGTCATCTCTGTACCTAGCCACCACTCTCCCCCATCTCTAAATTCCTCCACCCTGTGGCTCTTGTTCACCTAATGGTTTGCAACAATCCTCATACCTTTGTTTTCTCTCATTTGGCTTTACCCAGAGGTTCAGTGGTATGCTGGAAACCACCTAGCCTGGTGTGTGACAGATTATGTGCTGGAGAGAAGGGATGATTCAAACAGGAAGTATGCTGGGCTCTAGAAAGCTCCCCAAGGGAGAAGGAGGCCATGATTTATCCTGGGGCATACAAAAAACAGTGAGGACTGAATGTGACTTCTTAGGTGTATCTGCACACCTGGGTTTGGGTAGTTTAGGCAATCATTTCTGGTTAACTGATATGTGGGTGCAATAGAAGCCAGGGGCCCTTCGGTTAGGGTTTGGGGAGGTGTCTGTCTTCACAGCAGACCTCTAACCAGTGACAAGGGATGGGGACCCAGGTCTATACTCTGGGAAAGCACAGGACAAGTCCAGCAGGCATTATTGCCTCAGGTCCATGGGCTGGGGTTCATGGCTTGAGGAAACCTAGCCAAGATGCTCATATTGCAAATGAGTAGACAAACCCAGAGAGGAAATGGGAGAAGGGCATTGAGTGTACATGTTGTTTCAATCAAACCTTAAGCTCCATAAAATCATGAAAGATCCCTATTATACCTCTTTGAATACCCACATTACTGGACACAAAATAATAATCAATAAAGAAATGTGACGTCATCACTTTCCTGCTTAAAATCTTCCAGCAGCTCCCCATTACTCACAGAACAAAGTTGAACTACCCTGTCATCATCTGGACTCTATTTCTCCAGCCTCAAATCCTACCCTCTCAGGCACTATGCTCCCAAACCAGCACCCCAGGCCTACATGTCCCCACCCAAATATGCACACATCCTTATACCCACACTGCTCTCATACGTGCAGTCCCTTCTCTGGCTCTACCTTCCAGCCAGTCTGAACTAGTTCCAGTCCTTTGAACATGCCAGAATTTCTCATGCCTCCAAGCTTTGCACCAGATCATCTCTCTGTTTCAGGGACTCTCTCCTCACCCCAATGCAATCCTTTATTGTGTTGAGAAATTCCTGCTTGTCCTTAAAGACCCAGGTCAGAGGGCACCTTTTCTGAGAATCCTACTCTGTGCTCTGATAATTCCTGTACAGCAAATGCCTCTATCACACAATTTACCACACTGAGCAGCTTCTTCCTCCACAGTCTGAGTACCAGAACTGGAATCATGGTGTTCATCTCTGAATAAGCATAGGGATGGATGGATGGATGGATGGATGGATGGATGGATAGCACAAATTCGAGTTGGATTGAATAGTCAATATTCAACAATCATGTGTCACAGGAGACAGAGAGAAGGCAAAACTTCCCACCCACAAGGTCTGAACCTGAATATCTCTCCTCTCCCCCTGCACCATTCCCTGGCCTCTCTAGGGGGCTCTTACATTTGTGAACAGAAGTAGAAGAGGAATTTCCAGATTCGTAGTTATGCCTCAGCAGGAGTCTGGTCCTAGATGTTCAAGTACTAAACTACATCCTAAAAATGAGTTTGACTGCTCAGTCTATTCCCACTGGCTTTCATTGGCTGCAGGCTTAGCAGGGACCCCAGGCCTGCAATACTGCAGCCATTAGCTCAGATTCCATTATGGAGAAGGAAGCAAACATTTCCAGAATAAATGAAATAGAGAAATAAAAGAGAAATAAAAGAATTCTTAAGGGAATCCAGAGGAAAGGGCGGATCGCTTTATCTAGAGAGCTTTTCTCCAGATTTGGAAGGATAGGGAGGAAGGAAGATGATATCATGCAGCATTCCCCTTGTGGCAAGTGCCTTCACACATATTCCTCATTAAACAATCCTCACCACCAGCCTGTGAAGTCAGCACAATTCTTTTTCACAAATGAAGAAAATGAGGTTCGGTGACCCACAGGAGATGACCTCAGGGTACAACCATGCAGCAGGAGTTCCAAAATTCAAACCTAGGGGCAACTCCACCAAGTCTAAGGAAAAGGAGTGTTTCTTCCTGCCAGGAATATGGCTTTGCCAAGTGACAGGCTATAAAAGACACTCTTTACTCAGATAAAACAGCACTTCCCAAGGTTTTGTCTCAGCTAGGACAGCCTCCAGGTGGGTAAAACAAGTTGGAGCAAATGGCTCTGGTATCGTCCTCCATAGTATCCCCCTCCTTGGGGATCTTGCATCCCCTGGCCTGCTGCTGCCCTGTCACTGGCCTCAAGGAGCTGTTACCTGTCTTTAAAGCACTAGTTCAAACATCGGTACCAATTATGACTTCGGTTCCTCCTTGAACAACTGAGACAATTGGAGTATTTGAAAAGGTTTTACCAGCTAGCATAGAAAAACAGCCAAGAAAAACAGAGGAAGCATGAAAACATTGTGAAGACCAAGGCATGAAGGTTAGAGCTTCTAACTTCTGCCAGAGTGACTCCATACCATGGTTACAGGCCCATCCCTTTAAGGGCTCTCCAGGGACTACCTACAACTAAGTAAGGCCAGGGCACCCCACAGAAGACAGGGATGGCCTGGACCACCCCAGGTGGCAGGAGGCAGCATTTCAGGCTCAGGGGTAAGGCAGGCCCAAAGCAGTAGTCCCTGGGACAGAGAAGAAGGCCTGGGGGTCAGAGCAGCTGATGAAGGTCCCTCCCCAGACCTCCTGCACTGGTTCCTGTGATGCAGAAGTATAGGACTCATCATGTCCTCCCAAACTTAATACCCTCTGTGCTTCTGTATCACCTAATGTGCCTACAAGCCTTATGGGACATCCCCTTTGTACTAGTTAGGGTTCTCCAGAGAAACTGGGCCAGCAAGATGTGTGTGCCATTTGTGCATATGTGCATGAGTGTGTGGGGAGCAAGAGATTCATCACAAGGAATTGGCTCATATGATTCTGGAGGCTGCGAAGTCCCAATATTTGCAGCCATTAAGTTGGAGACCCAGGAGAGCCAAAAGTGTAGTTCTATTCCAAGGTCAAAGTCTTGAGAACCAGGAGAGCTGAAGGTGTAAGTTCCAATCTAAAAGCCAGCAGCCTAGAGATTCAAGGAGAGCCAGTGTTTTAGTTCAAGTCCAAGGGCAGAAAAAGGCTGGTGTCCCAGCTCAGAGCATTCAAGTAGGAGGAGTTCTCCATGCTCACTGGAGGCCAGCCCCTGTGTTCTAGTCAGGCTTTCAACTAATTGTATGGGGCTCAGCCAAATTAGAGAGGGCCATCTACTTTCCCCAGGCTACCGATTCAAGCATTAATCTCATCCAGAAACACCCAGACACACCCAGAATGACCGAATAACAGCTGGGCACCCTGTGGCCCAGTCAAGTTGACACACAAAATGAATTACCACAGGTAATTCAGCTGTGGTAATTCAGCAGCTACCCCTCTTTCAGCTCCTACAACTCACATCCCCTGACCAAGGCACCTGGTCTCATACCCCTGGCCTTTGCATATGTTTTCCTATATGGGACATTCTTCTCTCCATTATTTCCCCCCTTGAACTCCTACACATACATCAAGACCCAGTTCATGGGTGGCTTCTCTGACTCCTCACTCTGTCTTTCCCCTGTGGTGTCAGAGCGGCTAAGTTCAGTTTAATAAGCTTTCATTAAAGACTTCCTCTACTATATGTTAGAATATGTAGAGTACTATAGTACTATAGTATATGTAAGCATGAGTTAAGATGGATCAATACCCCTGTTCCCTCTGCATCTATAGTAATGGAAGAAAAAGTCATGACAAAAGATAATTTCTGAATAAGATAACAGGCATCTAGCCTAGCCTGGTGAGGTGAGTGGGGAGGAGTCTCTCTGGAGGAGAAGATTAATGAACCAAGTCTGGAAGTCAGAATAAGTACAACGAGTAGGAAGAAAATTGACATTTCATGTTTAGAAAACAACACAAACCACAGTGAAAGATATGAGCCTACCTATCTGTGTAAGCAGGAACGTGGGGCCAAGTGAAAGAGGCTAGATGCTGATGCTAGACCAGGTCATCAAACACTTATAAGCCATGCAGAGGACGCTGGCCTTTATCCCAGCATAGATAAGGGCAATGCCTTAGGCAATTATCCCGCTGAGCTTTAGGATCTGTCCATATATGTGGCTTACCATGAGAATGAGTTTCTAGGGAACAAGGACTCTGTCTTAGTCACCCTGTAGCCCTACCATTCAGCCCAGTGCCTGGTACAAATGAGTTTTCAATAAGGTTTCATGCAATAGATAAGTGGATGGATGGATGGATGGATGGATGGATGGATGGATGGATTGGATGGATGAAGACAAGGGTCTCATTTGGTCTTTGCAGAAATGTAAGGATATGAGTAAGGGAGTAGTTCCTATTTTACTGGTGGGGAAGCTGAGGCACAGGGAGGTAAATGATTTGCCTAGTCTCTGAGTATATTTGTGTCCTGAGTCCCCACCCAGGATTTCTCCTCTGCAGGAGCTGCTCCTCTGCAGGAGAGACTCAGGAGGCATGCAGCTGCCACAGCCCCTGGCCTGAGACCTGCCTGCCACCCCGAGGCTGCAACCACCGTGACCAAACCAGTTCAGGAAACAGAGGGTCTCTGGGCTTCCCACCACTGCTTTTTCTTTAGAGGTTAAATGGCAGAGCCATGAACATTACAGGATTTTTCTCTATCACACATTTAGGTTCCCTTTCCAAAACAGGTGGATTCTTGCCAAGTTTACTCCTGATTTCTTCCTTCTTCCCAGGTATCTTT